CATCTGCATCTGAAAATCTCTTATGTGTTTCCAAGTGTCCTTAGTATAATGTTCGACTAAAGTAAATTTATTGATTCTCATATCGATTGATACTGCTACTTGTATACTAAATAATAAATTACGTCAAAATTTATCTAAATTAGTTTAATAACAAAATAATTATTTCAGGAGCAACACTAGCTTTAAGATGCCAGTACAGTAATTTGTACGAATTCCGAATATATATCAATAATTCAAAATCAATACGAATGGATGGGAATGAATGCGAATGGCTGGTAATGAATGCGAATGGCTGGGAATGGATAGAAATGGTTGGGAATGGATGGGAATGGATGGGAATGGTTGGGAATGGTTGGGAATGGATGCGAATGAATGCGAATGGATGCGAATGGTTGCGAATAGATGCGAATGGATGCGAATGGATGGGAATGGCCAGGAATAGATGCGAATGGCTGAGAATGTCCGAATGAGATTTTTCCCCCTTGAGTTAAATTGAGTGTTGGTGCATGTTCTAATATTGCAAGTGTTTCTTTCACCAACAATTTATAAGGATGTTTATCTTTGTATAATAATTTCACATTTTGTCAATCAATTTGATAATTAGTTTCAGTCATGTGCCGATAAACTGTAGAATTGTTTTTAGACTCATTTTGGTTATTGACTAAAGACATGTCGTTATCACTAAATGTATCACTATTAGTATCTGATTCATAGTAAGAAATAATTGGAAGATTTTTTGATGCTATTCTATCGGATCTACGAAGGTGTTGTAGTTGTTGTCGGTGTTGTAATGATTTTTGTTTTTGTTTTTGTTGTTGTTGTTTTGTTGGATTGATTTGTATTTCACCATGTTCTTTCAATCTTCGTGTAAGTTGTCTGTTTGTTTGTCCTATATAAGAAGAAGAACAAGAGTTACATTTTATTTGATAAACAACACCAGATTGTAAATTTTTTAATGTTTTGTCTTTATTTTTAAAGAATTGACCAACTTTAGGTGGTGGCCTTTGTATTGCTAAGATTGAAGTTTCTGGTTTAATGTGTTTAGCTGAGGGTGTGGTTGTGAGTTTTCATCTGTTTACCCACACCCACTCACCCACCCACACC